TTCACGTCTGGTCTTATTAATTACCATGGAGGCTCATTTGTTTATGCTCATGCAGGAAATCATCTTCTACAAAGTCATTGACTACATTTTACACGGAAAAGAGGACATCAAAGTCATACCGTAAGTTCTGCCTTTGGTTAAATGCGTGTAAAGATAAGGATGATTAAGATCGCAGTACATTACACCTTCAGAGGTGATTATTTTCCTATAGCAGCACATCCCAAAAGTGTGTTATTCAAATGGCAATATGTATTTATTATTAAAACAATACATCATCCTTTTTTATCTATTTATAGTTACCTTTAATGCTGGGGAATGTCCATGACACAAGATAGTTCCTGTTACCACTTATGTTATAGCAGCTATAAACAGTTGTTCCCTTACTAGCCTCTCATTTTTCTTTCTCTTGAAGTTAATAAAACAAAAAAAAAAATGCAAGCACCTCTGTCCTGAAAAGACTTTCCTGTTCTTTAAAGTTATAAAGTGCCGACACAGGAGATTTATTCCATAAATGCTAAATAAATATGTCCTCACAGAAGACTTCACCATATCAATAATTACACATGCTTTTTAATTGGTTTATGTAGAGTGTCTGCTATTCAAGGCATTGTGAATGAGTTGTTACTATAGAAAGGATAACGTATTAGAACGAGCGCATTAATATAAACCTGTGATTTGTAGCTGTATTACTGTCTGAATTGAGAATTCAGCAGCACTGGTTTGTTGTTTGATTGATTGTTTTTTTTTTTTGTTTAATAAATGACTATTGTTGCAGAAATCCACCTGCAGACCACTGGGCACTGGCTAGCGGCCTACCCACCTATGTAGCAGAAAGTGGCTTTGTATGTGTAACCCATTTTTTGGCACTAATTATAAAATTCATACAGTAAATGTATTAGGCCTGAAAGCCATTTGTACACATTGTTTCATTTTCTTCACTGTTTTAGATCTGCAATATCATGAACGCACCTGCAGAGGACATGTTCAAATTTCAGGTAGACATCCATTTCACTTTTAAAATAATGAAATCAGGAGGCTTCGAGTGGGACAGCTGTCTAAAAAAAAAAAAAAAGCATATCTGGCTGCTCTCTGGGTGGGATGGATGGATGGTCTTTCTGTTTCCTCTGTAAATCAGAGCAATACTAGCCTGATTGTCTTTTAATCCATGTGTATAGAATAGGGCACTTAGCATTCTCCTCCTATGGTGCTGAAGCCTGGGAAAACCCTTCCCATGGTGAAATTTTGGCATTTTTGAAATTTTGACAGGCTTTCATGAACTGAACTCTGTTTCTCTTTTGAATTAATGTCAATCAGAAGTTCTAGCATTATAACATCTGGTTCCCTCCAAAGTGAAAACTGAGAAAATAGCATTTAAATATTTAATTTCTTCTGCAGCACAGGAGCATTACGGACATTTTTGACAGCTGGTATCTGATTACACCCTAAGCATAGCTATCTAATAACTTGATCAAAGCATGACATTCACTGTGTGGGGAAATTAAACTGGCTCCTTATCGTCATCATTATCATTATCATTGTAGGGAGACAAGTTACAATGGAAATACAAACATTTCCAACTCATTTTGGTGAAATATATTTATGGTGTCTTAAAGTTGAGGTGTTGGGCTCCCGAGAGGTACTACAGAAAAGCGTTCATCCTATTATCCTATTATCGGGAGACTGTGAGTTTGAATCCCGATGATTCTACAGCCGTCTGTGGCCAGAGTCCGAGAAAGCATAATTAGCTGTGGTCTTGGGGAGGGAAGGATGATGTTCCTTTCTCCCCTGTCAGTCTCTCCTGACACTAAACAATCATGGGCATCTGTTAGCTCATATATGTGGAAGAGGACAATCTGGGATTTCCAAGTGGTCAGCTTCTCTGTGTCCTGACATGTGCAGCAGTTTGACAAGAGGCGGTGGCTTCATGGGTCTCAGAGGAAGCACATGCTAGACTTAAATCTTTCGGTTGGTAGTTGTCATGTGATAGAGGAGAGCCAGCTAGTGGGACTGGCAAATTGATCAAAACTGACCAAATTGGTAGTGTCAAGCTCATGGCCTGTAAATAACTTGAGGAACTATTTATATGTATGTTTTTTCCATTTTTAAAGTCTTATGAACTGTTAAGTCCTCCCTGTTTCTCTTGTTTTGTGGCTGTTGTGACACCAAATTTTCCCTTGGGATCAATAATGTACTCTCTATCTATCTGTCGGTTTGGTCTCTTGGTAGTACCAGAATTCAGCCACATCTTACTGGTTTTTCCAGACCTACCAAAACAACTGGTGAGAGTCAGCTAGTAGGTGGGAATTAGAAAAGGCTAAACTGGAAGAAAAACTAGTTAAGGTCTCAAGTCTCAAGTCTCCAATTACAAAGCACGCAACTGTATCTCTGTGATGTAGAAAGACGCACTTGATGAAAGCGGCTGGACCATTAAAAATGTGCTGTCTCTGCCAATCGTCAACAAAAAGGAAGAAATTGTGGGAGTGGCAACTTTCTATAACAGGAAAGATGGCAAGCCATTTGATGAGCAGGATGAACAACTAATGGAGGTAGATTTCTTTTTTTTTTTTTTATCTTGGAAAACCAGCACATTATTAGTAACTAACTGCTTGTTTGCTATGTAATCATGAGTCTTGGATTTAGTGAACGCTGTTGATTTTAAAGGCTTTGACCCAATTTCTGGGCTGGTCGGCGCTCAACACAGACACCTACGACAAGATGAATAAACTGGAGAACAGGAAAGACATCGCCCAGGACATGGTGCTGTACCACGTCAAGTGTAGAGATGATGAGATTCAGAATATCCTTGTAAGTCTTACGTGCACAGTATTGAATCCCAAATAATGACATAATCCAGGAAAATGGATCGTGACATTACAGTGCACATTTTGTTGTTGTTTTTTAGAAAACCAGGGAGTATTTTGGGAAAGAACCAGTGGACTGTGAAGAGGATGAACTTTGGCAGATCCTGGTATATACAGGCTAACTTGTTAACAAACATTATTAAAAATATTATATAAACTTGGTAACAGTATCACCCCCAGCCCAACACATTGCATTTGCAACAAAACCTGGAGGGCTCTTGTATTTTATGGTGCAATATTCATGTCCGGTTAGATTTGCCAATAGCATTTTTACCCCAGTGAGCAGTTTTTGACCCATTATCCAGTTGGCACACTCAAATTAATTCTCCTGAAAAGATTTAATCCAAATAAAAAAAAATTTAGAGTAACTTTGTAGTATTTTTTTATTTTTAGCAAAAATTAGATCTAATTACATCTATATGGACCTAACTGTTTTATTCCATATCTCTTCTCATGTAGAAGAAAGAACTTCCAGGGAAAAATAAATTTGAAATATATGAGTTCCGGTTTTCCGACTTTGACTGTACAGAACGGGAATTGGTGATGTGTGGCATCCAAATGTACTATGAAGTTGGTGTTGTGAAGAAGTTTCAGGTCCCTCAGGAGGTCAGTATTCATGCCAATTAGCAGTGGTGGTTAAAAATTTTGTTTTGTTAGCAGATTTATGACATGTTAAATGGGAAATACCCATTGGAACTAAAAATAGCAGCTTTTCTGAGTTTAGGACATTCACTGTTAGGCGATGTGATGTGATGTCCCAATTTAACTGTGGCAGCATACATTCTGGCTGCATACAATTCTGCCTCTAAAGCTACAGTGAAGGCAGTGAAGAGTTTAACCAATCTTTATTTCATCTATATTACTGATAATAATACATCTAATCTAGAGAGCAAGGCTAGTTAGTTAGCTCATACTAAGAGTGTTGTGGTTACAGCGTGCACATCATGTGAGTCTTTTTTTAATATCAGTGCAGAAAAGGACTCTGGCCAGCACTTTTTCTGAAAAGAAAAAAAAAACCCTCTAAGATACAACTTAATGTTTACCTACAGTGTCTCTGTCCAGACAGAAAATCAGTTAAGAATTTGAGAACTCAGGTACCAAATGACTTTACAACATTTTCTCCATTAGGTTCTAGTGCGGTTCATGTACTCAGTGAGCAAAGGCTACAGAAAGATCACCTATCACAACTGGCGCCATGGCTTCAACGTTGGGCAAACCATGTTTACATTACTAACGGTATGAACCTCTATAAGCAACAAGTTAGCCTAAATTTGAGACTTGATACTGTGGGATCTATAATTAGGGTTTATTTATTATGTGTGGAGTCAGACAGGGCAGCTGAAGCGATACTACACGGATTTGGAGGTCATGGCCATGATCACTGCTGGATTCCTACACGATATTGACCACAGAGGCACCAATAATCTCTACCAAGTGAAGTAAGTCACTCTCACTAACCATGGCAAATTAAGAGAATGAAGTATATGCATACAAATAACTCAAGCTTAAGTTAGATACGGAATAAACCACATTTGTTGTAGTTTCACAGTGTTTCAGTTGTGTTATTTTTTAAAATATTTTTATATTTAATATTTTAATGTTTTTAGATCCCAGAATCCATTAGCAAAGCTTCATGGTTCATCCATCCTGGAGAGGCATCATTTAGAATTTGGCAAGTTTTTACTTGGAGATGAGGTAAAAGAAAAAAAAACAAAAAAACAAAAATGGTTGCAAAATCTTTCAGACTGCTATACAAAACGACTGATTTGGACATTTCCCTTTGTTCATAGTCTTTAAACATTTTTCAAAACTTGAACAGAAGACAGATGGACCATGTTTTCCACCTAATCGACATCGCCATTATTGCAACTGACCTTGCCTTGTATTTCAAGTGAGTAAACATCTACTTCATCAGTGGGATTTTTTTTTTTCATTCATTAAACTCATTAAATTGTAACTATGGTGTATAGGTATAGGTCTTTTGGCCACTCCCATTTGGGGTTGCCACAGCAGTTCACCTATCATTTGGCACAAGTTTTATGCCAGATGCCCTTCCTGATGCAACCCTCCCTATTTATCAGGGCTTGGGACCAGCGCTTGGAGTGCACTAGCCTGTGCACCCCCAGTGGTTGGGGTTGGTACCCAGCGTGGGGCCCAAACCCATTATCCTGAGATCAAGAGTCCCACGTTCTACCAACTGAGCTAGCCAGGCACTGTAACTATGGTGTATATAAAGAATGAAAAGCCTCCATGTTGTGGCGTTATAGCAGGGGTGTTCAGTCTTATCCGGGAAGGGCCAGTGTAGGTGCAGGTTTTCATTCCAACCTATCAAAAGCCACACCTCACAATCTGGTGAAACCCAAGATTTGCTAATTAACCAGGTGGAATCAGGTGTGGTTCCTGCATGATCGGAATGAAAACTTGAAATCTTGAAAGGTTGGACACCCCTGTGTTAGAGGAAAATAATCAACGACGGGGTGGTGTGACGAAACAAGTTCTTGCTCCATCCCAGAAGTGGTTTACTTCTGCAAAGCATAAACTCCTCTGTCTGGAAAACTTGCCCATGTCAGAAAACTTAAAGAAACGCTAATGTAGTAGAATGACCGCATTAATATAAACCTGTGATTTGCAGCTGCACTACTGTCAGAGCTGCTGTTATGGAAAATGAATCAACATCTTCTGACCAATCAGACTCCAGAATTCAACAACCACAGAATAGAATCAATAACCAAAAGAGCTTTTTTTAGCTCCAGCAGTTATGAAAATGATCCCATCTCCTAATTTGCAAGTCCCAATGATGAAATGGTAAGGTTTGGTTGTCATGTTCCTTCTAATTATGACTTGAAGGGACGTTCATGTGCACCTTTTAGGTTGGAAACTTGTATTTATAAAATTTCCAATTTTCGCACATGGTGGCACATGATTCATTAAATTCTTGGCTCTCTAATGTTAACAGGAAGAGGACAATGTTCCAGAAAATTGTGGATCTTTCTGAGACGTATGAGGATGAGAAGAAATGGGTCGAATTTCTGTCTCTGGAAACGACAAGGAAGGAAATTGTAATGTGAGCGCAAACATTGCAATAGGTCACAAATATATTAACATAGAAACGAAATACCTGATGGCTTGTTTCACTGCTTCAGTAAGGGCATTTTGTTCATTTTGTTTTGTGGATATGGTCTTGCTTACATGAAACCAACAGGGCCATGATGATGACTGCTTGTGATCTGTCAGCCATCACCAAACCATGGGAGGTTCAGAGCAAGGTTAGTCTGTCTGGATGGAGTAATTCCGTCAAAACAAAGTTCTGGATTGCAGATGTATAACCTTTTGTGTCTACCCAGGTGGCACTGTCTGTAGCAGCTGAATTCTGGGAGCAGGGTGACTTAGAGAGGACTGTACTTCAGCAACAACCCATTGTGAGTCTCAGAGGGTTAGCACCTAGTCCTAGTAGCATTCCTAAGATGATCCTATTCCCTAGTCTGCAAGTCATAATGATGAGCGGGTAAAATTCAGGTATCAAAATTGTTACTTAAGGTTAATTAAGACTGGATGGCTTTAGTAGTCACTTCCTTCAAAGTGCCCTGTTTTATTAGGCAGTATTTCATGGAAAAGGAACTTTGGTATGAACCTTAGGGTGATTTCACACATGCAGAGTTAAGTCCATTTGAACTGAATGTATTTTCTCACGTGGTGCGGTTCAGGTAAGAACGCAAATATCACACTTGGCTAGAGACCAGAACAACTGCTCCATCTGAGACCATCTGAGCAAGGTGGCCTCAGTCTGGTTCCAACTGAACTCTCGTGCAGTGATGAAGTGACTCAGATTCAACAGCACAAAGTGAACCAAACATGTTGTGTGTTTGGGATGCAGGTGACATTTTTCAGTAGACGTTAGCTGCTAAACTGATCCGTGAAGAGCAAACGGAGCCAAAGCACCAAGCTGTAGTGCTACAAAAATGTGCTCTAGAGATCTGGCCTGACAAACAAGAAGAGAAAATAAACAGTGGATGAGTTCACCGTATTTGTAATCAGTGAATGAAGGCTTTTTATGCGTATGTTTTCAGTCCTATATATCCCTCAGCCATTTTTTTCTTTTTGGTTAGTTAATTATGTGCATTATGTTAAAAAGTGAAAAATGTTGATACTTGGTGCATAAATGAAACTTCTCATTCTTTCTGTTTTTAGCCCATGATGGACAGGAACAAAGCTGCAGAACTGCCCAAGCTTCAGTGCGGTTTTATAGACTTTGTCTGCACTTTTGTCTACAAGGTATTATTTAGGAGATATCTATAATTAAATCTCACCTGCTAAAGCTGCATTATGTTCTGATTTAAAATACCTAAAAAGAGTTTGAAGCCCTAAAGGCAAATGAGGCAAATAAGAGTATTACATAAACATATCCTCTGCAGGAGTTCTCACGGTTCCACAAGGCCATCCAACCCATGTACGATGGCATTCAGAACAACCGGAAAGAGTGGAAGGCTTTACAGGAGGCATATGAGGCGAAGCTGAAGGCGGCTGAAGAAGCAGCCAAAGCGAAAGCAGAAGCAGAAGCAGCCAAAAAAGGTTTGGCAAATCACATAAGCAGCAGTCTCACTAAGAATTTGCTTCATTTGTTCTTGAAAGTGAAAATTAGGTGGCAAACTAGGTTACATAGTTGTCATGTAGAAGTTAGGAGAAGCAGTAACAAGATCTGTTTATCTGAGACGTTTAAGAAAAACTTCCTGGGTAAAGCTCCCCCGTGATGCAAAGTAATACTGTTAACAATTTAAAATATAATAGTTTTGATTTGTTTAACACTTTTCATGGTCACTGCATCATTCCATTTGTGTTATTTCATAGTGTTAATGTCTTCATTATTATTCTAAAATGGGAGAAAATAGTGCAAAAAGAAGACCTTCTATGGTCACATAGAAGAGATTACACATGGTGCTGTTTTTGTAAAAATGTTTCATTTGCTTCAGCAGCTGCCGCCAATAACCCATCATCGTCAGGGTCCAAGACCTGCTCAATCTGCTAGAACTAAATGGCCGTTAGAGAAGGCGGGGTACGTTAGGGATTCAACACAGCCACTGAAATGGATGGCACATGGTGAGAGTGGTCTCACCCCAGAACAGAGGGACGCTGGGAAACACTGAGCAGGACAATGCATCACATGCTTCCAGTATGCCACTAGACCAACTGGGGCCTGACGACAAATTTCTGTAGACACAAACCAGGGTGACTGAGTTCGCCTCCGGTTTGTGCCATCACTGGTTTATAGTTTTTGGTTAAATCCATTCTTGTTGTGTTATGTCACATGATCACTGAGTCTTGTATGTTCTTGAGGCAAATCCTGAAGTGGAGTGTGTCTATTGCGAAGATTAGGCATCAAAGATGATAGCTATGAGATAATACTTGTTGCTTTTTTTTTTTAAAGTATATACTGCATGCCAATTCTTACTAGTGTTTGTGGAAACAAGTCTGTTACATGAGCTGTGTTCCAGTCGCATGCTTTAAAGGCTCCTGTGTCATTGGGCAGCATTTTACCTGAAAGGCAACCTTGGCAGGCATCATGAGGATGGATCCCAAGCTAGAGGCAGCTATTGATGGATGACAAATGTATGTAAAACACGATATAAAGTATGTTGGTAAGGTGTTGTGACACGGCAAACCGCTAGAACAGCTTTAATTCACCTTGGCGTAGATTGTACAAGTCTCTGGTACTGTACTGGAGTGATGAACACTGTTCTTCTAAACGACATACCCAAAAGATTTTTGGTATTTCGATGATGGAAGTGGTCCAGCAAACATTATAAAAAAAATAGTTTTTTTGCTGAGACTGTCAGTCTTAGAATGCATGATGTGACATGCTCACTGACAGCTGATTTAGTGCCGCTGGAACAAAAGACAGCTGACAACAAAATTCTGGCAGCGTGAGAAATCTTTTATTAAATGATCCTTGGAGAGACCATGCCCACCAGAAAATGTTTTATTGTAGGATAAAGGGGATGAGTCAAAAGAACTTTCAATTGATTTGCAGTGACACTTCCTTTTAAGTGGACCCAAACCATGCCCGCAAAAATAAATGCCCCCCCCCCCCCCCCCCCAAAGTTAATAACCACTAATTAACACATTTGAACACAAAAATTCCAAATTCCAAATAGTAATTAAATAGCTAGTTAAAATAATTAATAATAGCTAGTTAAATAGCTAGTTACAAATTATGCAGTTCATTTATACTGTGTATCCAAACTGTATTCCCCATCAGAGTACAGTTTTACGGCGCTCTGGTCTGACGAACAGTATCATGGGATTACCTACACCAAGACGGACATGCAGATGCAGTTCTGTCCTTAAACTTTTACCAGCATAAAGAACTCAGAAAGCAGCATGTAAAAGCTGCTAAAAATGCTGCCTGCCTAGGCAACTGCCTTCCAGTGGAACACGACCATACGTGTGCTCAAGACCCCCCCCTCCAGAGTTCTCCAAAATATAGATGAAATGTATATTTAATGACCAAAAATTGAATCTAAGTGGGTAGTGACTAACAAATGTGCTCATGATATGCGCTTGTTCATCAGTATATATCCCTAGAATCATTTTCATAGCATCATGCTAGTATTTGCACTTGAATTTGTGCGGTTGTACTTTAATGTACTTGACATGAATTTCCATCACGGCATTGCGTCAAGTGCTACCATACGTGTGCTTTTTTCATACGTGTGAGTTTACACTTGTGACACACGCAGTTGGAAGGAATACCAGTGCCAGTGGCCTTCATACCTCTACATCTCATATATATCAAATGTCTTTTCAGCCAACTTCTAATGACACTAAACCTACAGATGTCACGGCTGTGTGTAAAGAATATTTAAACAGGAGTACAGTGTCACTAGTTGTGTGCGATGTTTAAGGAGGAGGAAGTGTCTTTCCTATGAACATCTACAAAAATTAGTAGACATCAACTGTAAATCTTTATTCTGTAAATAAACAAATAGACCATTTCAGGTTTAGCAAGAAAGCATGGCATTATGGTATATGGTATATTATGACAATTAACTTAAAGCTAGTTTATTTTATGTAAATGAAAATGGAAAGACTCACAGTTCAGATATGATTAATTAGGGGTCCATGCACCGGAGGAGCTGGAACTCTTTTGTTTTAATTAGGATTTTTGGTTGGTTGTGCTGCTTTTATTGGCGCTGTCACATATGCAGTGTTTAGTCC